AAGCTGATCCACCAGCAACTCCTATGAGAAACGGTTTAGGAGGGGTCTGTTTGATCAACCCTCTTTTCGACAACGCAAATTCAGAAACCGCCGCCATCTTTAAAATGAACTGACTGACAACTTTGGAACGATTGCGTGACGTAACAGGTGTGCGGCGGTAATGCAACGAACGGACCTTAGTACTTAGAGCTCCACTGGGATAAATCCGGACGAACTGATTTCAAATTTCAACATGGCTGCTGGTAGAAAATTCTTACGCACAATTTTAAGCTATCCTCCGAAGACCAGGAGTATCGGCAATTTTTTAAAATTACAGTTGACTTCAATCCGTTGTCTCTCGTCAAATTTCCTCGTAAAATATTCAAAATCATCAAAACGTTTTAGTTCCAACAAACAAAATGTCTACGATGTTGCAATTGTAGGAGGAGGTGCTATAGGTTCATCTTCAGCGTACTTTCTAGCCAGCAAAATGCAAGGACAGGGAAAAATTTGCGTGATTGAATGCGATCCTACGGTGAGTTGATATTCCTTTCAGAACAGATTGCTTTCATCCGTAGTTGTCACGCGACGGGGCTGCGTAAATTAAAGTCGAGGCGACTTAATTGCGACTTCCTTTTTTTAAAATTTATTTTATAATTTAAGTATTTTTTAAACGATTGCGACCATAGCCTTCATTGTAAATTTTCATTTTATATTGTCTTTTTTATTTTTGTGCTATAAAGTACTCAAAGGCATCAACAACCCTGTCGGTTGGATCAATAAGGCAGCAGTTCTCCATGGCTGAAAATATCCAAATGTCACAATATGGCTTTCAGTTTTTATCTGAAATTGAACAACATTTAGCCGTTGATGGTTGCGACCCCCCTGATGTTCAACTGCATTGTCAGGGTTATTTGTTTTTAGCAAGCAAGGAAGGAGAAGAAAGAATGAAGGAAAATCATGTGACTCAGAGGTGAATTTTTAAAGTTATAGTCTTTAGATTTGAACACCTTTTTAAAAAGGGAAAGATGGTGAACCCTTTAAACCCTAGGCATCTAATTTCTCTTCACAGTAATACTGCTGAGTTATTTACTAATATTATGAGAATAAAGGAAATGATCACATAGGAAGCTTTGATTGTTAAACAAATTCTCCTTGTCAGTACCAAAGGAAATGTATAGAAAAGAGTATGTGGAATATGGGTAGCGATGTTGCTATGATACAAGGGTTAATAAGTATGAGGGGTAGTATTCACTGTAGCTGAATTTTTGGAACCACTTTCTTACTTGGATTTATCATCTTAAGTTCCATGATGGTTGATTGCTAGTCAACCTAACAATAGTTTTCCATGTTGTTGTGGTCTGTTTGGTAATAGATCACAGACAGATGACATCAAATGTGGTTAGTGCAAAAAGGTTGCACAGGAAGCACAGTTGAGTGTGTCACTGATGTTTTTACTTCATTTCTTCTGGGATCTTGAACTGAATAAACACATGTCAACGTGGAATCTATTTGTTAATTATATAATTAACAAGGGAAGGCTGTTCAGGTCAGCTATGTGTCTGCCCTGCAAGAGATTATTAATAGTAAACAATCAAAATATGTGGGTTAAAGCAAATAATTCAGTTTATTATGATTATGATGAAATAATTATAATGCTTCATGACTGCAGTATGGGTTATATCTTCACTGATGTTAGTTCCTTTGACAGAGCTTCTGAATGATTCAAGATAAATTGTTTCAAATACATGTGCAATAGCCCAAGGTAAATAAGCCACCATAAAAACTTTCAAAGCTGATATTTTTAAGTGTTAGCCCTTTGTCAGAGCGAATGGTTAACGCTTGAAACATCAGCTTTGAAACTCTTTATGTGGCCAATTTATGTTATCAACTCAGTTGATAGTACCAAATTTCCTTCTTGATGGGGGCTGTTCTGCACTCATACAGGGGAAGATTAGGTAGTGAGTGATTTCTGAAAATATTTATCTCTCCAGGGTTATTGAAAGGTATCCTAAGTTTTTTTTTTTTAAATTAGGGTTTTCATTGCATTTTGCAAAATATTCCTGCTGATCAGTTAACAAGTATTTTATTAAATATGAGTGCAGGTGTTGATTAGGAATTGTTTTAAATCATTTCAGGGAGCTTGGATGTGAAGTTATTCTTCTTTCCCCCTCTGAGCTCAGTGAACGATTTCCATGGCTCAATACAGATGGCATATCACTAGCTTCCTTGGGTTAGCATATGTACCATTGAGAAGCTATTTATGGTTTTGTGAGACTCCTAATCAATTATTGATTTAACGATTTAACACAAATTTTTTAGGCTCTAAGTCTTTGTGTTAAATTTTAACCCAAAGATATTCAGTGTATAAATTCAAACCTACCCCCTTGTGTTCTGTAAGACTAACAAGCAATAGGATGACTCAAAAGTTTTTGTCTAGTTGGGTTTAGAGGAACAAGAGAAAAGGTAAGTTGGAGTAGTAATGGGAGCTTGAAGAGTGAAAGGTGTGGCCTTCATCTGACGGCACATCTTAATTCCAGCTGGCAATCTTTGGTGTAGTCAATTTTCCAATTTCCATTTGGTAAGATAAAATTCCCCTAAAATGTTCATACCATTCAGTGTTAGTGTGAGATGAATGCCTGGTAGCTCAACAGCCAGTGTCATTTTCTTTGATGTCATTGTAGGGAAAGATTAAGTTGCATGCAAGTTCATGATAATAATTTTCTTAAAAAACAATATTCTTGTTACTTGAAGTTATTTTATCAGAGAGTACAGTAGATCTTTTGGATCACATCCCAGAAGTGTAACATAGCTTTTTGCTAAAATATTTCAGGAACAGGAAGGGAAGGTTGGTTTGATCCATGGTCACTCCTCAATGCCTACAAGAGGAAGGCTATCTCTTTGAATGTGGATTACATCACTGGAGAGGCAGTGGACTTTGTTACTGATCAGAATGGACAAATATGCAGTATAAAGGTTTCAACTAATATCTAGTTCCTATTTAAAGGTTTATGTTTTTATTTGTTTATCTTAAATCCTGAATCCATTGTTCAAATGAAAACTGACATTCAAGAAGATAGCCTACACCTTACGGCACACACCCAATGTATTTCATGTTTCTAATCTTGTACCTCTGTTATTTTGTAACATGACACTTGTGGCATGTGTGGCATCTGATGATCCACCAGTAAATTTTCTGTGTTTGACTGGGTAAAGCAAAACTATGACCATATTAATTTCAACTGTCAATTGAAAATTGCCTTGTGAACGCACACATTTGTATCTTTTTGTAATGCTTTGACAACCCTTGCGATACAGTCGTCTGACATAGAAGATGCTTCTTTGTAGGTTGTTACCAGTTCATCTTCGAATGATCCACAAACCATCCACTGTAGGTTCATGGTGAATGCTGCAGGTGTAAAGGCAGGGTATCTCGCAAGGAAGCTTGGGATATATCTGCCTGTGGAGCCAAGAAAACGCTGTGTGTTTGTACTGAGCTGTCCAGGCGCTCCAAACAAACATCAAATGCCATTGATTGTTGACACTACTGGATGTTACATACGGCCTGAAAGTGGATCTTACTTAAGTGGAATGTCCCCACCAGAGGCAAGTACTCAAGATCAATATCAGTATCTGGGCAACTGCCCACCTACCCCTCCCCTAATCCAACAACAGTCAATTGATAACAAGTTAGGGTTAATGTTAGGTTTGGGGAGGGGTAGGTAGGCAGTTGCCCTGATACTGATTTTGATCCAGTACTTGCATGGATGATTTAGAGATTGAAGGAACAAGACATACACCTTGTTAGATTACTTTTTTCCAACCCTCTTAATACGAGATTACTTTGATAGAGTTAAATGATACATGAAACATGATCATTGGTTCTTTAACCTGTCTTACCTACCTAAGGCAAATTTCCTTATTTTCAGACCTTCAAAAAATGACTCCTACTTTACATTCTGTTCACAGGAAGAGGATATAGAAACTTCCGACTTTGAAGTAGACTATGACTTTTTTTACGAAGCGATTTGGCCAAAGTTAGCTCACAGAATTCCTCTATTTGAGTGCATTAAGGTACGTAATGTATCTGAATATTTGATAGAAACTTGTTTTTGATAGAAATTTTTTGTTTTATTTTACTTTATTTAATTTTTTTTTCAAGCGGAAGTGGAGTGGAAGCGGAAAAGATTTTTCGAGTAGTAAACAGAGACAAGGCCCAATCGACGGGTTACAAACGGCCAGGCCCTCAAACATAAACCTGTTAAGAAAAAATCAGAACCCCTTATGTAAATAACCAAAATACGTCAAGCGTCTGCACTGTAAATACTTTAGGGTTAAATGAGAATTGTTTTAAGGGTTGGTGTAGAAGGCCGGTTTTGGTTAAGATTTCGTGCCCAAGCTAAAGTAGATTTTGCTCTACCTTGCTTAAATGTTTGGTAACTGTTATACTTCTCTGATTCATGATATAGGTTCAAAGCGCTTGGGCTGGTCACTATGAATACAACACATTGGATCAGAATTGCATAATAGGACGTCATCCCCAAATAAGGAATCTTATTTTTGTAAACGGCTTTAGCGGTCATGGTATACAGCAGTCTCCTGCAGCAGGGCGAGCCGTCAGTGAGTTGATAATGGACGGCGGTTTTCAGACAATTGATCTTTCGGCACTTGGCTACGAACGTGTATTGAGCAACGAACCGATGAAAGAGAAAAACATCGTT